CCCCTTGTAGTTTTGCCTTTAAATACTGTGTAACTTTGTTGCTGGCTGCTCCACTCCTCTGCCCCTGCATGGGATATGAGTCGAGCCCCAGCCCGCTGGAACTTCGAATAAACTCCTCCTGCTTTTGCATCAAGAGACGTCTTTCGTGAGTGATTTTGGGTGGCGTTATCCCTGACTTGGGTTGGGGGAGCCCTGTTGTGGGGGAACCCAACAGTACCTATTACAGTTTTGTTTTGTTTTGTTTTTTTCTGATACAAGGAGGCTTAATAAATGTTACTTCAGTTTTCCAGCAATAAACACTTCATCTTCAGGAGTTAAATCATTGCCTTAGGAACTCAAACATACAACTAACCTCTAAAAGATCAATAATTAACCTGTTGAAAGAGCCAACTACTATGCCAGAACGAGTAAGGTAACCTTCTGAAATAATGTGCATATAAAATCCTATATATAAGACAAGCTCTCCTTTAATGTTGAGTGCATGCTCTGGATCAAAGACAACTAAAATTATTTTGGAAATAAATAAAAAGTCATATAACTTTGTGAAGGTATATAACCAAAACCAAACACACTGCTTTCGAGTCAATTCTGACTCATAGTGACCCTTCAGTACAGAGTAGAACTGCTCCATATGGTTTCCAAGACTGTAAATCTTTAAGGAAGCTGATTGCCTCATCTTTCTTCTGAGAAGCAGGTCAAGCTGCTGACCTTTTGTTTAACCAAAAGCTTTAACCACTATGCCACCAGAGCTCCTATGAAGCTATATACATACTTCAATTATTACAGTCATGAAAAATAATACAGGAAAATAGTAATGTTCCTATCTCTTTGTCTTATAAAAGTAGATAATAAAATTGGGTAATTTCTTCTCTTTCCTGCTTGTACGATAGCATCTGATTTTCATGAAGATATCTTGTAAGAAACAAGACTATTTTCCCAGAACTTGTGCTGAATTATTCCAAATAGTTTTTGCTTCCGGGATTTATAAGTTTCTTTGTAATAATAAGGAACCAGATTCTTTCTGGAAAGATCATCTCTGTATCTAACACCTTTAAGTACCACTAGTAAACACACCATGACTAATGACTTGTCTTATCTTTTTCAACTCTAGTATATAAACATCAACTTAATACCCTCACAATAGCTTTGTGAGGTAGATCAGTAGGTAGACAGCAAGTATCATCTTCATTTCATAAATGAAGAAACTGAGGCACTGAAAGGTTATAGAATTTGTCCAAAGAATTCAATGAGTCACTCATGAGATTATAAACTATTAAATTATCTCTGCTTCTGACCTATTGCTCTCTGACTACTCTTCACAATAAAAGGCTGGGTGTGTGTATGTACTCAAATGACCAGTCTCTATGACCCTAGATTCAGAGAGTAAATCTTCACTGATAATTATTTTAAAGAAGATCTAAATTCCAAAGGTCATGAAAATTGAAAAGAATCAGGTACGAGTGAAACTACTCCTTTCAATATTCATATGGAACTACATCTTTAAAAAAATCACATATGCTACTAATTAAAGAGAAAAATAAAAATTTCAAATTTATGATTTAGAGAAAGTACCTTCAAGAAATATGCAATCATATCATTAGAGTGGTCATACAGCTTATCTTCAAAGTGAGACAGCTGAGAGTGAAAGTAAGTATTATCAATAATGACATACGGTAATAGGTGCTAAATAGGGACTGTCTTGAGCAAGCTCAGGTATGGTCACAATACATTATGGATTCTATAAAATGTACAAATATTTCAGGGATATAAAGACTCTCTGCAATCACCTTGTACTCAACCATGTTCACTTTGCAAATGAAACACTGGTGCTTTAAAATACAGCACCTGACTTTGGCTTAAACACAAAGGTTAAAAAAAAATTAATTTAAACTAATAAGCATGTTTAACCAGCAAGTTATTTTAACACATTTCCATTCAAATTTAGTTTTCTGCAAATCACAATTTAAGTGTTAGTAACATCAGTAGATGGATTCACTTTTTCCCTTTGTATAATCAGATGTTCTTTTTATAAAAACATAAACAGGCGCCTTTAAAAATTAGGGAATTTTGTGGAACTCTTTGGCTATTGAAAAAGCAAACAACTATTTATCAATAATGCTTAGGATTCTCCTTGAATGGAATGATCAACACTTAATCTCATAATTGATAAAAGTAAACATTTTTCTCTTAAATAACAATCTTCTACAAAGCAATACCAAAAGCATAAAAAAATTTCCAGTTACTATCAAAGACTGAAAGAATAACATATCACCTGATTATTCTACACATGCTAAAGGCACTAACACTAGCAGTTGAAGGACAACTTTAATTATGCATGCAAAACCTCACTAATTTGCATACAGACTTGAAAAAGAGCTTTCCACATTGTTATGACTGGTAAATAAGCCAGTTTTAAGTTTTAAGATATGGGTTCTGTGAATATGTTTATTACTGAAGTCTTTACTCATTTATATGTCTTTGGGAAATACAGTTTTATCATCTTCTTTGCAAACAGCAAAAATGTAAATCATCATAATAAAACTATAGTTATGATTTACAACTTCCTTGCATCTTTTAAAACAAGAAAAAAAGACTTTCCTGAAAAACATTAATCTAAACCAAACTGAGCTACATGTTCTCAGCACATGATGATCCTTATCACGAACTAAATCTTTCCAGGGTAAATGGATTTCTAAGGCAAATACATAAGGAATGGTATGTAATAAATCCTATTAGAAAAGATGATATTCTATTCAATGAACATTGGTAAACTCTTATTCCTAGGATGTAATTAATTCTCCATGCCTTGTTCGTTATCCTGACACTTGTCACCCAGAGCACAGAGGAAAATTCTAGGGCATACAGATGTTCATGAAGACTGAACTGATACTTGACCTCAGCTGGTAGTTTCATAAATTCTTTCAGACTTTAGACATCATCAAATATTCTGCTGCGAGACATCGAGAGATAGCGTCCACCAGGCTGATACCTGAAAGGTACACATAAAGAAATGGAATTATATGAGGCATTAATAAATGAGAGAAAAACAAGAACACTTTAAAAGAAAGTACCTACATGATTTGTAAGCACTGTGAAATACATTTAGTAGCTGTTTTGGTTACCTAGTGATGCTCTGGGAGCTCTGGTAGTATAGAGCCTAAGGCACTTGACTGCTAACCAGAAGGCTGGCGGTTCAAACCCATTAGCCACTCCTCAGAAGGAAGATGGGGCAATCTATTTCTGTAGTGATATTGCTTCGGAAACCCAAGGAGGGGTTTCTATGAGTTGGGTCTGACTTGCCGGCACATAACAACAACAACAGTGATGCTCTAATAGAAATACCACAGATGTGATGGCTTGAACAAACAGAAGTTTATTATTCTCTTACAGTTTTGGAGGCTAGAAGTCCGAATTCAAAGTGCCAGGCTCTAGAGGCTAGGTGAAAGCCCCTTAACCTTGGGCTTCAGCTCTGCCTCAAGCTCCTGGCCCAATGAAGTGGGAGGCTTTTCTTTATTTACTCAGACAGCTGCTGGCTGCTAAGGATGACAAACCCAAGGTTGACAAGTAAAAAGGCACAGTACCAATGTTACCAAACAACATGGCAGGCCACTAATTCAAGTGCAGATGAAGTCCCAAGATTGGCAGGGCATGACTGGTTGCTGAACAACGACTTGGCTACATGCAGGGTTCAAGCATGCCAAGAGGCTAGAGACCATTCTCAAAGCTGTTTCTTGTACATGGGAAGCAGACTACAGCCCTAAAGCAGCTACTCAGCTGCTTGTGGTAGATCCTACCATGGAGATGATTGCCAGTCTGTCATTCAACCAGGCCCAGCCAAGTTGACATAAAACCTTAACTAGCACAGTAGCTGAAAGCAGAAACTTATCCTCCATGGATCTTATCCCAAAGAGATTTATTTAATTATAAATTAACTAACATTGCTTTAGAAGTTAGAATACATGCATGATAGAGTGAGGGATGCAAAATGCTAAGACACACAAGCAGCTTATTCAATTTAATGCCACTATCCAATAATAGAATATACATGTAATATTCTAGTTTTGTGGTGGTTGTTGTTAATTACGTGGTTGTTGTTGTTAGGTGCTGTCGAGTTGGCGTTGACTCATAGTGACCCCATGTACAACAGAATGAAATACTGCCTGGTCCTGTGCCAGCTCTATGATCCCTGCTATACCTGAGCCCATGGTTGTTGCCACTGTCAATTCATCTTGTTGAGGGCTCTCCCCTCTTTAGCTGACCCTCCACTTTACCAAGCATGATCTCCTTCTCCAGGGAATGGTCCCTTCTGACATTGTTGCTTCCAAGGTGCATTCTGGCTGTACTTCTTCCAGGACAGACTTGTTGGTTCTTTTAGCAGTCCATGGTACTTTCAGCGTTCTTTGCCAACACCACAACTCAAAAGCATCAACTCTTCTTATTTAGTCCCAAGGAGACATCTTTGCTCTTCAGCATTTGAAAGAGGTCTTTTGAAGCCGATTTGCCCAGTGCTATACATCGTCTGACTCGGAAGGAAAATGGGGCAATCTACTTCCATAGTGATACTGCCTCGGAAACCCAAGAAGGGGTCGCTATGAGTTCAGGTCCGAGTCAATGGAACATAACAACAACAACAACATATATCATCTGATATCTTGACTGCTCCTTCCATTGGTGTTGATTATAGAACCAAGTAATATGAAGTCTTTGACAACTTCAATCTTTTCTCCATTTATCGTGATGCTGCTTATTGGTCCACTTGTGAGGATTTTTTTTTTCTTTATATTGAGATGTAATCCATACTGCAGACTGTACTCTTCAATCTTCAGCAGTATGTGCTTCAAGTCATCCTCACTTTCAGCAAGTAAAGTTGTGTCATCAGCGTATCACAGGTTGTTAATAGTCTTCCTCCAATCCTGATGTCACATTCTTCTTCACACAGTCTAGCTTCTCATATTATTTGCTCAGCATACAGATTGAATAAGTATGGCGAAAGGATACAACCCTAATGTACTCCCTTAATTTTAAAGTTGTTAATTATAGGCAATGCTAAAACAAATCTCTTCATGAGTATGATATTTTGCTTTTGTTATTTCCTCCTAGAATAGTGGTTAAGAGCACAGACTGGAGTCAGACTGCTTTGGTGTGAAGGCCTAATTGTCTGTATTTATAAGCTGAGAGTTTCAGCAAGTTGCTTAACCTCTCTGGAATTCAAATACAAGTGGATGTACAACCATAACATAAGACACTCTTTTTGAAGTGCTTAGAATAGGACCTAGCTTGGGAAAAGCTATGTAAAATAAATATAATGTTTCATAAATGAGATTATCAGAAAATGGTATCTAAATATTGTGAGGGTTCTTGCTATCTATTTCAATTCTTCTTTCTCATTTAGCGTCCCGCTGGTATATAGGAGCTCTGGTGGCACAGTGCCTAAGGCATTTGACTGTTAACCAGGAGGTTGGAGGTTCAAACTCACCAGCCATTTTGTGGAAGGAAGACTGGACAATCTATTTCTGCAAAAATTTACTGCCTTGGAAACTCAAAGGGCATTGCTATGGGTCAGAATCGACTTGATGGCAGGTTTGGTTTTTTGGGGCATGTATGAAAGTATCAGTATCAGTTACCACCACATGCTACACTTTCTAAAATAAAGCATTATTGTTGTTGTGTTATGTGCCATCGAGTTGGACCTGACTCACAGCGACCCCTCCTTGGGTTTCTGAGGCAGTATCACTACGGAAGTAGATTGCCCTATCTTCCTTCCATAGATTGCCCTATCTTCCTTCTGAGGAGTGCCTGGTGGGTTTGAACTGTCAGCCTTCTGGTTAGCAGTCAAGTGCCTTAGGCACTATGCTACCAGAGTTCCTAAAATAAAGCATTAGAAAGTATGAAAAGGAATCAAAGGTTGTGCTTTTTATTATTAATTATAATTATTTATAAGATGTAATTAATTATATCCTATAATTATAAAATTAATATTTTCTTTATATTTATTTGTCACTTATGTTAACCTAGTCAAGTCATGATGTTATTAAAATGTCAGAGGAATGCTACAGCCAAAATGACACAGCTGGATCTTACCTTCCTGACTCAGATTCAAGAGGATCATCAGTGAATGTTTCTGCATTGAAGTCCAAAGGTTCTGCATCTTGGAGGAGTTCTATTCGGTCCCTTTCAGTCCTATTATTAGCCCTGGTATATTTAGATGCTGCTGTAAAAGAAGAAGAAAAAAAAGAGTATGTCTAATGTTCTACTGTATTTTAATTTATATAATTATATTTAATTTTTAATTTATATATTTAATTTTATAGGCTATCACCAAACCAAACTCACTGCCTTTGAGTCGAACCCAACTCATAGAAACCCCTCCTTGGGTTTCTGAGGCAGTATCACTACAAAAGTAGATTGACCAACCTTCCTTTAGAACCACCAGCCTTCTGGTTAGCAGTCAAATGCCTTAGGCACTATACCACCAGAACTCCTTTATAGGCTATAGACTCACACACACACAAAAAAATTATTATAATTTTGATTACTCACTGCCATCGAGTCAATTCCGACTCACAGTGACCCTCATTTGGTTTCCAAGGCTGTAAATCTTTACAGAAGTAGATTGCCTCATCTTCCTCCCATGGAGCAGCTGGTGGGTTTGAACCACCAATCTTCTGGTTAGCAGCCAAGAACTACACCACCATAAGAAAAGATAACTACATGGGCCCTTAAACATCAAATTAAAATTATGGGAATAAGAAGACATGCGGCAAACTTGGAGAAAATCTTTGCAAAATATATGTCTGATAAAGGACTTGTAACCAAAATTACAAAAAATACTTAAAACTCAACAATTAGAAAACAAACAACCCAGTTACAAAATAGGCAAAAAATCTGAACATACACCTCAACAAAGAAGATATACAGGTGGCACATAAGTATCTAAAATGATGTTCCATATTGTATGTTGTGGTAGTTAAATTTGTATGTCAACTTGGCTGGGCCTGGCTGAGTGGCTGGGCAGCTGGTGGTAGTTATTCCCCATGATGAGACTGGCAATCAGCTCTGTGGTGGGATCTACCACAAGCAGCTGAGTAGCTGCCTTTGGGATGTGTTCTGCTTCCTGTATGTAAGGAGAAGCCTTGGGGATGGTCTCTAGCTTATGGCATGCTTGAACCCTGCATGTAGCCATGTCATTGTTCAGCAGCCTGCCATGCTCTGCCAACCTTGGGACTTACAATGGACTTGAATCAGTGGCCTGTCATGTGGTTTGGTAACATGGGGACTGTGCCATTTTACTTGTCAACCTTGGGCTTGGCAGCCTCAGCAGCCAGCAGCTGTTTGAGTGAAGAAAAGCCTCTAGCTCCAGTGGGCCAGGAGCAGGAGGCAGAGCTGAAGCCTAAGGTTGAGGGGCTTTGACACAGCCCCTAGAGCTGGCACTCTGAACTCAAACTTAAAGCCTCCAAATTGTAAGAGAATAAACTCCTCTTTGTTCAGCCATCCCATCTGTGGTATAATCTTGTCAGAGTGGTACTAAGTGACCAGAATGTATGTCATTAAGGAATTCCAAATTAAAACAATGAGATACTGCTATATGCCTTACATACCTATTAGAAAGGCTACAATCTAAAACACTGACAACATCAAATGTTGGCAAGAATATAGAGCACGAGGAAGTCCCATTCACTGCTGGTGGGAATGAAAAATAGTACAGCCATTTTGAAAGACAAGTTGACAGTTTCTTACAAAGCCAAAAAGGCTTACTATATGATCTACAATCACACACTTAGCGATTTACCTAAATGAGTTGAAAACTTATGTCCACATGATCAACTGCACATGAATATTAATAGTTACATGGCAAAAAATGGGGAAACAACCAAGAAGTCATTCAATGTAGTTGTTAGGCACCTTTGAGTTGGTTCCAACTCATAGCTGACCCTATGTAGGATAGAACAAAACACTGCCTTGTCCTGCGCCATCCTCACAATCCTTGCTATGGTTGAACCCATTGTTGCAGCCACTGTGTCAATCCACATTGTTGAGGGCCTTTCTCGTTTTCTCTGAACTTCTACTTTACCAAGCATGATATCATTTTCCAGGGAATAGTCCCTTCTGACAAAGTGACCAAATCAGGTAAGATGAAGTCTGGCCATTTTTGCTTCCAAGGAGCATGCCCGCTGGACTTCTTCCAGGACAGATTTGTTTGTCCTTTTGGCAATCCATGGTATTCTTCAGTATTCAGTATTCTTTGCCAACACCACGATTCAAAGATCAACTCTTCTTTGGTATTCCTTATTCATTACCCAGCTTTCACATATATAAAAGGTGATTGAAAAAACCATTGCTTGGGTGAGGCTCAACTTAGTCTTCAAAGTGACATCTTTGCTCCTAAACACTTTAAAGATGTTTTTTCCAGCAAATCTGTCCGATGCTATATGTTGTTTGATTCCTGACTGCTGCTTCCATGGGTATTGGTTATGGAGACAAATAAAATGAAATCCTTGAAAATGTCAATGTTTTCTCCATTTATCATGGTGATGCTTACTGGTCCAGTTGTAAGGATTTTTGTTTTCTTTATGTTGAGGTTTACTCAATACTGAAAGCTCTAGTCTCTGATCTTCGTCAGTAAGGGCTTCATGTCTTCTTCATTGTCAGCAACGAAGGTTGTATTATCTGCATGTAACAAGTTGTTAATGAGTCTTCCTCCAATCCTGATACCACATTCTTCATATAATCAGGCTTCTCTGATTATCTGCACAGCATACAGACTGAATAAATATGGTGAAAGGATACAATCCTGACATACACCTTTCCTGATTTCTTATCATGCAGTATTCCCCTTTTGTGTTCAAACAATAGCTTCTTGGTCTATGTACAGGTTCCCCAAGAGTACAATTAAGTGTTCTAGAATTCCCATTCTATGCAGTGTTATCCATAATTAGTTATGACTCACACAGTCAAATACCTTTGCACAGTCAATAAAACATGGGTAGACATCTTTCTGGTATTCTTTGCTTTCAGCCAAGATCCTTTGGACATCAGCAATGATACCCCTTGTTCCATGTCTTCTTCTGAATCCAGCTTGAATTTCAGGCAGTTCCTTTTCAATGTACTGCTACAACTGTTTTTGTATTATCTTCAGCAAAATTTTACTTACATGTGGTATTAATGATATAGCTCAATAATTTCCACAATCTGTTGGGTCACTTTACTTTGGAATGGGCACAAATATGGATCTATTCCACTTAGTTGGCCAGGTACATCTTCTAAACATCTTGGTATAAACAAATGAGAACTTCCAGCACTGCATCCATGACACTTTCAATGGGTATTCCATCAATTCCTACAGCCTTGTTTATCACCAATTCCTTCAGTGCAGCTTGGACTTCTATCAACACCACTGGTTCTTGATAATATGTTATCTCCTGAAATGGCTGAAAGCTGACCAATTCTTCAACTGTTCTTAAGTGCTGTTAAGTTGGCTCAGATTCATAGTACAAGAGAATGAAATCCTGCTCAGTCCTACACCATCCTCACAATCCTTGCTATACTTGAGCCCATTGTTGCAGCCAATTTGCCAATCCATTATATTGAGGGTTTTCCCTTACAAGCATGGTATCCTTCTCCAGGAATGGTCCCTTCTGACAACATGACCTATATGGGTGAGAAGAAATCTGGCCATTCTTGTTTCCAAGGAGCATTCTGGCTGTACTTCCTCTAGGACAGATTTGTTTGTTCTTCTGGCAGTCCCTATTTTCATTATTCTTTGCCAACACCATAATTCAAAGGCATTAACTCTTCTTCTGTTTTCCTTATTCATTATCCAGCTTTCATATGCATATCAGACAATTGAAAATACGATGGCTTCGGTTAGGTGTACCTTAGCCCTCAAAGTGACATCTTTGTTTCTTAACACTTTAAAGAGGTCTTTTGCAGCAAATATGCCAGTGCAATACAAGGTGTAATGTATTTTTTTTTTTTTTATTGTGATTTGGGTGAAATTTTACAGGCAAATTCACTTTCCATACAGCAGTTCACATACACTTTGTCTCATGAATGTGTGATTTCTTGACTGCTGCTTCCATGAGTGCTGATTGTGGATTCAAGTAAAATGAAATTCCTAATAACATCAATCTTTTCTCCATTTACTATGATATTGCTTATTGGTCCAGTTGTGAGGATTTTTGTTTTATGTTGAGGTGCAATCCATACTGCAATCAAAGACTGCAGTCTTTGATTTTCACCAGTAAATGCTTCAAGTCACCATCACTTTCAGCAAGCAAGGCTGCGTATCTCAGGTTAAAAAGTCTTCCTCTAATCCAGATGCTACATTCTCCTTCATATTGTCCACCTCCACAGATTATTTACTCAGCACACAGATTGGATAATTATGTTGAAAGAATACAAACCTGAGGCAAACCCTTCCTGATAATAAACTATGCATTATCCCCTTGTTCTGTTCAAACAGGTGCCTCTTGGTCTATGTACAGATTCCTCAAGAGCACAATTAAGTGTTCTGGAATTTCCATTCTTCTCAATGTTACCCATAATTTGTTAATGATCCACACAGTCAAATGCTTTTGCATAGTCAATAAAACAGAGGTGAACATCCTTCTGGTACTCTTTGCTTTCAGCCAAGATCCATTTGACATCAGTAATGATATCCCTCATTTCACATCCTCTTCTGTATCCGGCTTGAATTTCTGGCAGCTCCCTGTCAATATACTCCTGCAACCATTTTTGAATTGTCTTCAGCAACATTCCATTGGATCACCTTTCTTTAGCACAGGCATAAATATAAATCTCTTCGAGTCAGTTGACCCAGCTGTGTACTCCAAGTTTCCTGGCATAAATGATTGAATGCCTCCAGTACTACATCCGTTTGTTGAAACATCTCAATGGGTATTCCATCAATTCCTGAAGCCTTGCTTTTTGCCAATTCTTTCAGTGCAGCTTGGACTTCTTCCTTCAGTACTACTGGTCCTTGATCATATGCTACTTCCTAAAATAGCTGAATACTGACCAATTCTTTTTGGTACTGTGACTGTATATTCCTTTCATCTTGTGATGCTTCCTGCATCATTCAATATTTTGCCCATAGAATCCTTCAATATTGCTACTTGAGGTTTGGATTTTTTTTCTTTAGTTCTTTCAGATTGAGTAATGCTGAGCATGTTCTTCCCTTTTAGATTTCTAACTCCAGGTCTGTGCACATTT